ATATTATATGCTTTTCAATTTGACTTTTTTTTATTAGTTTTATACTTTAGTTCTTAAGATGTTAAGGATAACACAAGGATATTATTTATATCAAAGTTTAATATCTATTCTGATTTTTAGACAACTTCTAATTCTGCTTTACAAGATTATGAATTATTCGATCATTCTACATTCTATTCCAACCACTTTTTCTTCAGACACAATGTTCTCAATAAGTAACTCTGACATGTATGCATATGAAAATCATCATAAGGCAAAGAGTTAAACTGGTACGAATCGAAATGAGCCAACTTTCAATGGGAATTAATGTCGAATTTTATCGAACGATGAAGCTTAAGTTTCTTCGTTAATTCGCGAGCTCTTATCTAAGTCGATTGCTACTGTAATCGATACTTAGCGCGATTATTGCTCAATTGTGAGAGGAACATAAAAGCCAACCCACATAGAGATACTTCTGAAAACTCCGTTACGATGTCTTTGGTTCAAGTTTGTAGAAGACCAGAGTGAATAGAAGTCCACGATCTTGTTCGATTACTTCTACACTTTAGCAAGAAAGATGTAAAATAAAAGGAAGTTTCGAACAGATCGCAACCGTTGAACTCTTCTTCGCGATCCTACTATCTTTCGCTCTTCTTCTCTGTTTACATAATGTTCTTCAACCATTTGTATCTTCTGCTTTTGTCTTTATTATTACATAATTCGAAATATATCCCGAACTATATCTTGCAATTATTCCTACAATTTACTCTAGTTAATATAATATAATATATGTAATACTTAATAATACACTATTCTGTCGTATTGTAAAGAAACAAATGTTTTACTGTTACTCTCGAAATCGATATATTTTATTAAATTATATCAAATAATTTTACAGTGATCTACGATTCAACAACATAGCTGAGCTTCGACCAGGCTCTTTCCATAGTCTGTCCGATTTACACACGCTCTTATTGAGCGACAACCACATCAGACATCTCGCGCCAAGAACTTTCGAAGGCGCGTCCAACTTGAAGATCCTCTATCTGTACAAAAATCGTTTGGAACGGATCTCGCCGGGAGCATTCTCTGGACTATCAAAATTGGAACAATTGTATCTACATTTCAACCGACTGAAAGAGATTAAGAAGGGCACGTTCAATGATTTACCGTCGTTGGAGAGGCTTTTCTTGCACAGCAATATGCTGCATCATCTACCAGCGGACGCTTTCCACAATGTGGGACCCATGACACGGCTTCGTCTAGATAGCAATGCTCTCGTTTGCGACTGTAATTTGGTCTGGCTGGTACAGAGGCTTCAAAGCAAGCCATCTGAGATGGCGGCCTTCTGCCAGTCGCCGAACGAGATGAAGGGCAGATCGTTGACAACCATGTCGATGGACGATTTCCATTGCAGTTGAGTAACTGAATCCTTAAAACGATAATGACATAGTAAGAACAATTGTATAAATCAAAGTAGCACGCTAAAATTAAGAGTCTAAAGATAGTAAGTAATGTAAAATTAGTATATCTATTTGTGATAATAATTAATGATGGATAATTTTCATTGCAATTGAATAATCGAACTCTTAAAAGGACAGTGAAGTTGGTAAAAATATTTCTCGAGATATTCTAGTAGTTCTCCATGGTCTGAAAATCAAATCGTCAAGTTGAGGTCTGACGAAAAATGAGATACAAATATAAAAGGAAATATCGACCATCGCGTTCCTTTATGACTCTCCCGGGACGCATCGCTCTTAATGGCGTTAAGAAAACTTTGTTTTATGACATCAGAAAATATCACGGGCTACAGTTGGCTTTTACAGTTAGAAACTTTTTATTGGGAAAGTTGATTCGCTAACGGTGATGAAGACAAAGTGGCGAAAGTCTGACAGAGGAACACCATTTACAATGCAGCATGCTACTTTTTCAATTATCTTCGATTACCTGGACGCATATATTCAATGGAAAAGAGAGTACATTAAGCATAGAAATAAATATTATCTTTCTGTCTATTTGAAGAATATTCTGATATAAATTAGCACAATTATGTTAGCCGATTATATTAGCTTCAATTTAGATCAAAGCGAGGAATATGAATTACTTTGTCTAGACAACTACAAATAAACATAGTTAACTGATGTTAGACATTTGTCAGTTTCACTGTGCTTAAAACAAATTGACAGACAGATTAGTACCTCTTACAAATATAACCAACCACGTCTAAATTGACTGCAAATAGTTCTAGCTAATTCTTTTCCAAAATACAACTTTACAATACAATAGTAAATAGTATTATTATTACTAGTTTTTAGATTAATTAAAATTAAAATACAGAATTACAATTTTTATTTTCACACATAAGTAAAGTTAGTAAAGGGAATTAAAAGTAAAAAGAAATTTTTAATTATTTAAGTATTATTATTTATTAACATTGACAGGCAACCAACTATTTATAATCATAATTAATTATTATTACAATTCCATGATGAAACAAAAATCTCTGATGATATATGTTTGCAAGCAAAACTCTTCAATAATATTATAACATTAGCAGAGTCCATTTCAATGTTATTAATTACTAGCAATAACTTGTCAATACAACTATATAATTGTTCAACTACAAATTAATTTTAAATTCTTATCTTCGTTTTCCAGCTGAACCACGCATAATGAATGGCCCTCAGGATGTGGAAGTCCGGCTGGGAGGGACCATTAGCTTTACCTGCGAGGTAATAGGAGATCCGATACCGGAAATCAAATGGATGCGGGACTCTAATGAAGTATCGGCCGATGGGAACCATTACGTAATCCAAGATGATGGAACATTAGTAATATCGGATGTAACGGAACAGGATACCGGTGAATACGAATGTGTGGCGAAGAGCGAAATGGGCTTCACAAAGTCGAGAAAGGCCAGAGCTGTAATCACGGTATCACCATCCTTGAGATTCACCGAACTGCCTGAATCACAAACTGTCCAAGTTGGTGCAGACGTTTCTTTCACTTGCAAAGTGTACGGTCGCCCTGCCCCAACTATTCAATGGTGGAGAAACGGTCAACTGTTGACCATCAGTGGTCGTATCACTATACAGAATGAAGGAACTTTATTGAGAATCTTTGCCGTAAAGGAGTCAGACTCGGCCAGATATGTTTGCCAAGCGAGAAATTCTAATGGATACGCTGAAACGAGCGCAGACTTGAGGATAGTGGATGAGTCTTACAGCCCTCCTAAGCTGACGTACGAGCCACACGATATGGAGGCGGAACCTGGGGCTATTATAGAAGTGCCCTGCAGAGTAGAAGGTTTTCCTAAACCCGTGATACAGTGGAAGAAGGATGGGACAGCTGTGGAAGGCTCCAGGTTCCGTGTATCGCGCGGGGGGAGTTTATATCTCTACAACGTTACTGCCACGGATACTGGAAGGTGAATTTTGGATACTTAAATTTCTTCTGTTATTTGTTCGTTTTAGAAACGCAGAATATTATTGGGTAGGATAAAGAAGAAAGAAAAAGACGATTAATTTTATTAATAGTTTCAGAAGGTTTTGACAGGCTTAAGAATATTTTATTCAAGATTATTTCTCAAATTCAAAATTGATATACTCTTTTCAATGTATTTGATGCATTAACAGAGATCAGGATCAATACAATAACTACAATGATTAATACTCTGATATTGTTTATATATAAACAATATCTAGAAATATATGGAAATAGTTGTAAACTATGTCTATATTAGATACATCTAATTGATATACTCTTTTCAATGTATTTGATGGAATAACAGAGATCAGGATCAATACAATAACTACAATGATTAATAATCTGATATTGTTTATATATAAACAATAGTACAAATATCTAGAAATATATGGAAATAGTTTTATAGAAAATTGTGTCTATATTAGATAACATCTAATTGAAATTTTAACAAAATTGAAATATACAAGACTAACGTTATATCAAAGTAATTATAATCTAGAAATACCTTATTTGAATTATTAAAATTATTTATTGTAGTATATTGTAATAATTACCGATAATGTGATGCGTTTTACGTTTGGCTTCACCGTCATTAATCAACGATTGTGCACGCAGGTACGAATGCTCCGCTGTGAACCAATATGGCCGTGCGACCGCCCAGGCACTGGTGCGCGTTCGCCAAGCCGAAGCAACGGATGTCCTGGTAATAAGGGCCTTCAAGGATGCTACCGAGGAGATCGATCGAGCCATAAATAACACGCTGACGGATCTTCTTAGCGGTAACAGGCGAACGAATCCGTTTAGACTCGCGCGCTTTCCAGACGCGGTCGGTCGCGCAGCCGCCAGACCGGCGGAAATTTTTGAGAGGACGTTGGTGAATATACGACGAATGGTAAATTCCGGCCTAAGCGCAAATACCAGCGCTGAATTCCGATATGAAGAAATTCTAACGGCGGAGCAGGTGTGTCGAGTTATTCGTTGATTCGATTAACTCTAGAATTGTGTACAATTGCTTTCCAAATTCACTCCCTCTTAGCACGTGCATCTTTTTAAATACTTTGTCATCTTAGAGTCTAGGCTGCAATATTCTCGATTGTTTCACTTGTCCAAAAGTAATTTTCATTCTTGAAAGCAGATGTTGATCGTTCTTAGAGTTTTATCCATTTCATTGTTCTGTTTTCTTAAAGAAATCAAAAGTACGTGAAAAAACGTGTGTGAATAGAGAAAACGAGCTCTTGTTCATTTGATTCTTTACAAAAATCATTGAAACACTATGTCAAAAAATGTGTCATGGTAAATATATAAATTTTCTATGAAAATTTATGAGCCTTGACTTTTTTGGTCTTGTCGTTAAAATCTGATGATAGAAGAGATACGTAATTCTTCTGTAATACTTTAAGATATTAAAAAATTTTCTACTACTTCACAGGTCAGAGAAATCGAAAGATTGTCCGGATGCACGGGCCACAGACACAGAAAGAATTGCACGAATATGTGCTATCATAATAAATATCGTAGCATAGACGGCAGCTGCAATAACCTACGTCACCCAACTTGGGGCTCCTCTTACACCGGCTTCCGTAGAGTTTTACAGCCAATTTACGAAAATGGATTTTCATCGCCAGTTGGTTGGGAAAAAGATCGTCGTTACTACGGATATCCGAAACCATCTGCGCGTTTAATCTCGACAACTTTGATAACCACTCGTAACATAACTTCCGACAGCGGAATCACACATATGGTGATGCAATGGGGACAATTTCTGGACCATGATTTGGATCACGCTCTTCCTGCAGTTTCTAGCGAGTCGTGGGATGGCATAGATTGCAAAAAATCTTGCGACAACGCTGCACCTTGCTTCCCTATGGACGTTCCACCTGGTGACCCCAGAGTCAATAACAGAAGATGCATCGACTTTATCAGAACGAGCGCAGTTTGCGGTTCTGGCGCGACTAGCGTATTGTGGGGTAGCTTCACTCCTCGAGAACAATTGAATCAACTAACTAGTTACATGGATGCTTCCCAGGTATATGGTTATGACGACGCTTTAGCCAGAGATCTCCGTGATTTGACTACAGATCATGGCCTGTTACGAGAAGGGCCTACAATTCCCGGTCATAAGCCTCTTCTTCCATACGCTTCTGGTCAGTTTGTTGATTGCAGGAGAAATCCCTTGGAAAGTTCCATCAACTGTTTCGTAGCCGGCGACATCAGAGCCAATGAACAAGTTGGTCTTTTGGCAATGCACACGGTATGGTTGCGCGAACATAATCGCGTAGCTCGTTCTTTGCGCGACATGAATCCCGGATGGAACGGAGAAAAATTGTATCAGGAAGCTAGAAAGATCGTAGGTGCTGAGATGCAACATATTACATACCAACACTGGATACCTCACGTATTTGGCAGCACCCCGGGAGAGCTGTTAGGTTCCTATCGAGGTTACGATCCTAATCTCGACGCTAGCATTTCCAATGTTTTCGCCACGGCAGCTTTGAGATTCGGTCATACGTTGATTCAGCCTCAACTGCAGCGTCTTAACGAATCTTTTCAATCAATTCCACAAGGTCCTCTGAAGCTACGAGATGCTTTCTTTTCACCGTGGAGATTGGTGGAGGAAGGCGGCGTCGACCCTCTTATGAGAGGGATGTTCGCCACTGCTGCAAAGTTAAAACTGCCTGAAGAAAACTTGAATTCAGAACTGACGGAACAATTGTTCTACACTGCCCACGCAGTGGCTTTAGATTTGGCTGCAATGAATATCCAACGAGGTAGAGACCATGCACTGCCAAGTTATTTGGACTGGCGAAGATTCTGCAATATGTCTCACGTTGAGACTTTCGAGGATCTAGCCAATGAAATTCGTAGCGCCAGAGTTAGACAAAAGTTAAGAGAACTGTATGGTCATCCTGGGAACATAGACGTCTGGGTTGGCGGAGTACTGGAAGATCAACTGCCCAATGCCAAAGTAGGACCACTTTTCCAATGTATTTTGCTAGAACAATTTAGGCGTACTAGAGACGGCGATAGATTCTGGTACGAGAATCCAACTGTATTCAAGCCGGAGCAACTCGGCCAAATAAAACAAACAAGCTTGGCTAGAATTTTATGTGATAACGGCGACAATATTGACAGAATTCAATCGAACGTGTTCTTACTGCCCGAGAATGATAATAAATTCGTCAGTTGTGATGAGATCCCGTACATGGACTTGAGAGTCTGGTCCGAATGTTGCGACGGATGCGAAGACCACAGTAACACGATTTCGAGATTCAGACGTGGCGCAATCAAATATTTATCACCGCAGAATAATCACATCTCTTTGAAAGATATAAGTACACGAAGTCAAAGTGAAAAAATAGAATATTTAGAAAGAACAATTGAAGAGACTGAGCAGGAGTCTAAGAAGGTTATGGATCTTGTAGAATCCTTGTCTCATAAGATAGAAGAACTGAAATCGCTTTTAAAGGATGTGAAGAAATCGAATAAATAATCAAATAGAATAATAAACATTGTGCCATTATTTCAACAACGTATCTGATTCTATTATCTTCGAAATTCGCTTCGTATTAAAAGTTCATTAACGTTTATTACTGTATATACACGAAGCGTAAAAGCTGCCTGACTTTAGTTTAGGAAATTAGCAAGTTCTTTATTGCTCTTTTGTCAAATTCGATTTCATCATTTAGATGTTTTTTTATTATCTCTAGTCTCATGTTTGATATGTTAATGGTACTAAAAAGAATTTAATGATATTTAATGATAGAGGCAACAATAAAGCTTAAATTGCGATCTTTTAGTTTTATCATTTTTAAAGCTGCAGAGAATCACATATTGCTTTAATAGTATAATATAAATACGTTTCGGAATTGATTTAGATAAAATGATAAAAATACTTTGTACTCTATGCAATAACACTTTTCCTTGATTAGCAATGCAAAGATTTACATATCACTTTAGCCTCTCTTTTTTTACATAGATAATACATATCGTACGTATCAACTAAGTACTGATAATTTGCATAAAATAATTTTGTTAGCAATCTAACACAAACTTTAAAGAGAAATGAATCACAAATACATATTATGTACAGTTTTAATATTGATCATTGCTATGTTGACAATTACATTTTTATGATCCTGTGCCATTTGTTTTATATTGTGTGAATGTTAGCTCCTATAAAATTTATAGATGTATCGTAGGACATGTTTATTAGTATATTTGGAAATGTATATTAAATAGGAATATTTGAAGAAAATTAAAAGTAGACCAATGTTTAATGCAATATGCAATAAAGTATCAATAAAGATTGTATTCACTTAAATAATTATATAAATATATATACACATTATACATACATTAATGCAGTGCTAGATCATTCAGATTTTATAATATATTAGTATAATAAATTAGTGTACTTGTTCTGTCCATGAAATATTTATAGTACGTAACAATATTATTTTATCTTTGTCCAACAAATTTTGTGTGTCTTCCATGAGCAATTATATCTTTCCCCTCATTTTTTGTAATATCTACTGCAAGAAAAGCTAATGTTTTTCCACTGCGTACAGTTTTAGCATCAATTGTTATTAAATCACCAGGAAGAGCAGGTTTCATAAACCTATATATTGATTATTATTATTATGTATGTTATAATTAATTATAAATATAACCATGAAAAATATTATACCTAAGTAACATTTAAAATACAAAATTATACCTACGTAACATTTAAATCCACTGAGACACCTGGTGAATTATTTTCTTGGGTCATTACGGCATATGTAGAAACACAGTCAATAAGGGTACTTGTAAAACCACCATGCATGGTACCACCAAAGTTTAAATGCTCCTTGGATACAATTAATTGTGCTTTGCAATTTCCATTTCCTGCTGAGACTATTTGGAGCTATTAAAAAAAAAAGTACAAAAATGTTATAATTCAATTAATTTGTGTAATATAATAAACAACATTTATCATATATTTTTATAGATTGATACTTGATAAATTTAAAAGATCATAAAATTGAAAATATTACTTTTTGTAAACATTGGCCAAAATTAACTGATTGAACAACACGTTCCAAAACTGATGTAATCAATTTTGTTTTACACATCGTTCAATTTGTATATTTTACGATTTTTTACTTAAAATTGTTGATTTTCTACAACAAAAAATTATATATTTTACAAGTCTTTATATTTACAAAAGATGTGATATTAATAGGTAAATTATTTAGTTCAAAAATTTTATCAATCACGCTTGACATAACCTATACTTAAATACATATATATAGCATGCTAGGAAATTTTTATTTTAAAAAGATGAATACAAAAAACAAATAATTGTCTCAAAATTTTATTAATTATGTATTTATATTTTAGTACATCATGATTAAAAATTTATATATTTTATTATAAAATATAATACAATTAAATAACCAACAGAAGAATTTAAATACATTTGTTCAAAAATTTGTTTTCCACTATATAATATACAATTACTTTCTATATAAATTACAATAAATAATAACCACTTTTTAGATACAATTTAAACGCAACCCATTTTTAATCATTTAACTGATTGAAAAAAATGATTAATATATGATTAAAATATGATTAATAATTAACAGGTAATCCTTCTTTGTTTAAAAGATGATCTTTAGGATCCTGCAAGTATTTAGGACCATTTCCAACTTTAGTATAAATAATATATTTAAGAGATCCTAGAGCCTGCTTTGTTGTATTAATTTTATTAAATAGCTCCTAAAATAAATATGAAATTTATTTTAACATGCATCAAGTAAGATATGATCATTAAGCAATGATGAAAACTATTTACTTGTGAATTTATAACTTCTTTGAGAATTAACCCTTTCCTATATTGTTCTAAATTAATCCCTGGTGGGAAGAAATGATCTAATACTCCCACAAATTCTGGTACACTTTCTTCTAAGAGATATAAAGTTGCATTTGGTCCTGCATCAAATGTATATGCAACCTAATAAATAACATATTTAATTAAAATATCAATATATATATATATAATACCTTTACTTATATATATATTATATATATATAATACCTTTACTATATATATATATTAATACCTTTACTTCATTCACAGCTTCATTATAGGCATGAACAAGATTGATAATAGTGTGTGAAACATCATTCATATACACAACTGGTGGATATGCATCCAAACATACTGCATGCATTTGATTTGAATCTTTAATTGTATGTTCAGCAAATGTTTTAAAATCTTTTTCTATGATTGCTTGTTCCATTCTCTCTACTCTATTAGGAAGAACATGTTTTATTCTATGTTGCATAAGATCAGATGTTTCAATGGTTCTTCTCATTCCAATTGAACTAGAAACTTTCTTCTTTGTATCATTTACCTGGTCCAAATATTAAATCATATTAAATCATAAATATATTCAGTAAAAAAACGTTACATAAAATAACAATTAAAGCTGATACATACAACTAATATTAAAATTCTCATTTCTGGCCAATGAGAAGCAGGCACAATTTGTTTTGCTATGCTATCAGTACCATTTGAGTCAGAACCCATATACCATTTTACAAAACCTCCCATGACACTCCTGCATGCTGAACCAGAGCCAACACGAGCTATTGAAGTAATATTATCCTAAAAATTAATATTCAAACAAGCATAAATTAATACATAGAACTATAAAAATTATAATTATGTTTATTTTCCAATACCTCTATTTGATGTAATTTAGCAAGGGCTGCTACAAGACAAGCATATCCTGCTGCACTAGATGCTAAACCGGCTGCAGTTGGAAAATTATTTTCTGAACAAATATGAACTTTCCATTGATCTACATGATTAGAATTTCTTGCTCTTTTCCTAACTAAAATGTTATAAAAGAGTTTTATTTTATAAAAGAGTTCAAAGCTTCTTTTATATAATTACATACTTTGCGTTAAACAATTTTGCAATCTAGGATTCTTAATTTCTTCTTCTCTGAAAAGTTATAAAGTTTATTTAAAATGCCCATTTAATTTTTCGTGATACATGAATTTTTTTTACTTACTTTCCATTTAACCATATACGATCCTCTTTAAAAGTTGGACTGGTCATCACAGTAGTTTTTGTATGTAGCTAAAATTTAAAATAAAATAAGTAAGATTGATATTGTTTGTGCATATTGTTTTGTCAAATATAATTGTATTTTTACATGATCTGTATCCAAAGTGGCGCTAATGGAATCATTTACTGGTAAAATCAGCATCTCGTCTCTTTTTCCCCCTATAACAAAGAAATAAATATATTTTTATAATGCTGTAAATATTTATTTCAAGAAGATCGCAGTACAGTAGAAATTTATTCTTTTCACATGTAGAAATAAGACCAGAGTTTTTTCAATATAATAGTATGATAATTTTTTTTTTGTGACACTGTACTTTGTAATTTAATTTGAAATTCAAAAAGGACGTCATACGAGTACATGGAAATTGTTATCGAATTGTTTTTCTTAAAATAGATAAAATAGTAAATTTATAGTTTAATTCTTATAATAATTATACTGTATTGCTATCATTAAAAGAGATAAAAAGCTAAAGAATACGTACAATATTTTATAACAGCAATATTAACGGATGCGATACAAGTAACGGTACACATCTTCTCAATCTGCTCGTCGACCAATTCCTTTATCGCTTACTGCGGCAAATAACACGCTCTAAACCGCACGTAGCATTTATACTTGAAAAAACATAAACTGTTTATAAGCTAGACAGGTAATTCTATGCTTCAATTTATTACAACTTATTTTCTCTCTACTTTGTACTTTACAATACATATTGTGAATATTTATTCCTTCCCTTCATTTTCTACTAAAAATAAAATTTCAAATTAGAACTTTCACCGGTTATATTTTCCAACATTTAATAAATAATATAATAACTTTATATATATCAGCAAGAATCTTTGTATATTAATGTCGAATAGTATTAAAAATTTACTATTCCATTCCATTAATTCCATTAATTTATCGTACTTTCTTGCTTATTCCGTTTACGTTTAGCAATTTGTTTTTAAAAGTACGTTGATTATCCGCCAAAACCTGCTCTAATCATGTAGTTACCGATGTTACAACACACACGTTTTCTTATTCCTCTCACAGATAGCGCTGCTCCTTGTTCTCATTCTCGCTTTGTACTCGACTCGGAGCCAGCCGGTTTTCAGTATGATGCCGGTTGTGTCGACAGTGGGGGTGATTTGCACGATCCTCGGAGGGCTGCACGTATTGCGATTGTACACGGCGGGCACGGTGTGTATTCAAAGCGCGCGCTTGTTCCTTGTGCCACGGACTGACCAACGAGATGTAAAACGAACGTAAGAACGATGCTACTGTGAGTGTTGCGTAGAAGCATCCGAGGTTGAAATCTCTAAAAAAAAAAAAAGAAAAAAAAAAGAAAAAATATCACCGATAACCTATCTATTCGATAAAGGGAACCGAGAAACGAGAGAGAGAGAACTGAAGAACGTGGAGCCTAAATATGGTACATGAAAGGTACCGCTCGATATTGTTAAAAGACGTTGCCAAAGTAGTGGCACGATTCGAACGATTCTGTCTCCGTCCCTTCCTCGTTGTCCCGCGTGCGTTTACATTGGCGAACTTACGCGTCGTCGTCTCCTTTCTCTGAGTCTCGTTCGAGTCAGCATGCGGCTCGAGTCAGCTCTCGCCGAGTATTAGTATCATACCCCTGGAAGGGTATAAAACTTAGGAGTCACTGCGGCAAGAAGAAAGAAATTTAAGAAAACGAAGGAACGAAGAAGGGAAAGAAGAGAGGCAAGGAGGAAAGATAAAAGAGAAAAAAGCGATGATAGGAGATGGGTGGTAGTCGTACGCGTCGAACGATCAAGTAGTGGCCGTATCGTATCGTATCGTATCGCGAATAAGACCGCGACGGTAAAGGTGTTCCCGTGGGACGTCTGGTGGGTTACGGTGACCGAGTCACTCTGTC